TTCTCAGTGATTTGCTGGGCTGCGGCTGATTTCATGCGCGAGGTAAGCTGTCCACGAAGCGCTCACCCAAGTGGAAAAATGTGCTGATCCTGTCAGATATCGATTGCCGAAAATCACATTGTGTTTGCTTGAGAAAACAAAAATATAGAGTTACAGTGTTTTTTTTTCTTTTGATTTAGTTGAATTGGTTTTTGCATCAAAGCAAATTTTAAAAGTCCACTGAAAACATATATTCTTACATTTTTGGTCATAGACAACGTATGTTGAAGATATACATTATTCTTAACGTTATTGCCTAAGCCTATTGCCTAAATTGTTTATTAAAATTTTATATAGCCCGAGTTTTTATAATAACTAACATCATATTGTTCCCTTTGTTTTGTGTATGCTCGTGTCGCTTACAGTTAAAGTCCTTTTCTGTTTTTATTATTGTTTGCAAGGTTGCAACGTTACTTTGCAATATTTTAAATATTTTTGGGTATTTTGCATGGGGCAGTAATTTTCTTTAAATCTACCAGTTGCGGTTGCTTCCGGGCGAGCGGATTCTCCGCAGCCTTCTCGCCTCCGCTCTGTCACTATGACTCTTCAGGATTGTAGTGCGTTCTCAGTGATTTGCTGGTCTGTGGCAGATTGAATGCGCGAGGTAAGCTGTCAGCGAAGCACTCGCACAATGTGCTGTTGCTGTCAGATCTCGATTGCCGAAAATCACATTCTGTTTGATGCAAAACCAACTCGACAAAATCTAAAGAAAAAAAAACACTGTAACTGTATATTTTTGTTTTCTCAAGCAAAGCAAATTTTAAAAGTCCACTGAAAACATATCCTCTTACATTTTTGGTCATAGACAACGTATGCTGAAGATATACGTTATTATGTCAACGTTATTGCCTAAGCGGTAAATTAAAAAAAAATAGTTTATAAAAACAATAATACATTTTTAATAATAAACATCATATTGTTCCCTTTGTTTTGCGTATGCTCGTGTTGCTTACAGTTAAAGTCCTTCTCTGATTTTATTTTTGTTTGCAAGGTTGCAACATTATTTTGCAATATTTTAAATATTTTTGGGTATTTTGCATGGTCTGTTATTGGAGTGGTGTCATGTTCCCTTTCGAATGGGAACTCTACACTGTGTCCCCTAGAGGGCGCTTTGGGGAATGTCTTTGGCATGACCGGTGTCTGAAGCATGAGTCTAATCATGACAATGAACTTGACATTGGCAGGCGGCAGCCTATGACGTCACGACAGGTGCGCCCGAGAGTATAAAAGGGCACCTGTAAAAAACGTTAGCCTCTTTCTTGTCTTTTAGGAGTCCGTTTGTCTAAGTGTGTGATCTAATCGAATTACGGCAGAACTATGGCAAGCACCAGCACAGCAAACTTTAGGAAGTGTGTTCATCTGTGTCAGCGTTTCTTGACACCTGATGACACGCATGTTATGTGCGTTATGTGCATGGCGAGGAGCATGCACGCTCAGTTCTCGAGGGGGCTGTTTGCGTGCATTGCGAGCGCTTTTCGTTGAGAAAGCTTCGCTCTCGTCTGTTCCTTTTCTCGAAGGAATCGGGACAGCCATCTCTACCCCGTGGTTCAGGACCTGCTGCAGCCGAGGCAAGTAGGAGACTGCAATCGTGGGGTTCGCAGGTGAAGCTTGCCGACGAGTTTGAAAAAGGTATGAGTTTTTCTCATTCGTCGGCGGCGGGCGAGAGCGAGCTGCGGGATGATGACGTGCTGTCTCTCACGTCATCCGATCCGGCAGCGAGCGCGCTCCTCACCTTAAGCCAAGATGAGCAGGAAGAGGCTTTTGAGGTCGACGATGTTTCTGAGCTCTCACAGCCCGCCTGCCCCGCATATGATGAGCTGTTGGATGTTATGTCTCGCGCTACGGAAAGATTAGATCTGCCGTGGAGGCACGAGAAGCACGAGCCCCCTCATGGTCACCTCGATGAATGCTTTTTGTCAGGACATAACCGCCCAGCTCGTACGAGTCTTCCCTTTCTTCCAGATCTTCACACTGAGGTGCGGCGAGCCTGGGGAAAGCCATATTCTGATCGCATTCACTTTTCACAAGCAAACTATGCTGATGGGATTTCACAAGCAAACTATCCAATGGGAATGCAGGAATGTGGATATGCGTCGATGCCTCCAATTGAAGAGACGCTGGCTAGCTGTCTCTCGGTTGGTGAGGTATCCGCATTGAAGACGCCGTCTCTGCCGACTAAGCCACTGCAGGTTACATCACAGCTGAACGGCAGAGCATATGTGGCAGCGGGTCAGGCTGGTGCGGCTTTGCACACGATGGCCATGTTGCAAGCCTACCAGGCTGACCTGCTGAAGGAACTGGACCCCAGGCGAAGGCGGTTGAGGAGCTGTGCCGTACCACGGATTTGGCTCTCCGTGCCACTAAGAAAACTGCCGCCGCTAACGGTCATTTGATGGTGGCGATGGTGGCTACGGAGAGACATCTGTGGCTAAATCTGGCAGATATCGGGGAGAAGAAGAAAAACTTTCTCCTTGATGCACCGGTTTCGGCTTCCAAACTTTTCGGTACATCTGTTGAGACAGTGGTTGGGAAGTTTCGGGAGGCAAAGGCGCGCTCCGCTGCATTTAAAACCTTTATGCCACGCCGGTCCAGGTCCAAGCCTCAAGCCATGAAGGGGGCTGGCTTGCCCCAGTCTGAGGACCGGAGGCAAGACCAGAAAGCTAGCACTGCTTCTCGTGCTCACCCTCCTTCAAGGGGTAGAGCACGGAGGAGACGCAAAGCTAGAGGGAGAAGAAAAGATCTCAGGGAAGTGATCCAGAGTAATCGCTCTGAGCGCTCTAGGATCCCAGAGGCTAAATAAAATCCGTCCCCCCTCCCTCCCTCTCCCTCTCACTCCCCTTCAAAATCCCCTACTTTTACTACACTTTTACACCTGGCTCTGAAGCTGGACCTATGATGTTTTTGGCAGCATGTTTCTTTCTATCATCTGCCTTACTGATGTTTCGGCATTAGAGGTATATTGTAAATGGCGTCATATATTTGAGCCTGCTCCTAGAGCTCGGCTAGCAGCCTGCTAAGTTGTTAGGCTTCGTTTGGGCCTCCTTGGCTACGTTAGAGCTCCACCATTTTCTGAGTCGTCAGGCCTCCTTTCACTACAGAAGGTTATTTATTTGAGGCCTCCGTTCACCTAGGGCTCCTCTAATATAGTATTACAGCTGCTTGCCAGGGCTCCGCGAAGACAGCGTGTGTGAGCTGTAGGCTCATGAGAGTAAAAAAAAAAAAACATTTACTGCGAGCGTCGTTAGGCTTCCTCTCGCTATAGAAAATGTGTTTAGTTGAGGCCTCCACTTGCTAAGAGTTCCGCTTAGGACGCCGTCTGTCTGTAAGAGACATCCTGGCATGGAGCCATCTTTTGCGATCGTTAGTTAGGCCTCCTCTTGTTCTGGCCTTTCGTTATAGAGAATTATTTCATTAAGGCCTCCGTTCGCCAGAGCTACGCTAGGGCAGCTTCTGTGAGTTGTAGGCTCTCTGTGAGCCTCCTTACAAGATGTTCTGTGCATGGGGTGTAGTTAGGCCTTTTCTCGTTTAGAGAGTTGTCATGTTGAGGCCTCTGCTCCTGAGCTCGGCCATCTACTGTGAGCGTCGTCAGGCCTCCTCTCGCTATAGAGAGTTGTTTTATTTGAGGTCTCCGCTTGCCAAGGCCTCTGCTAGGGCAATATCTGTGCATTGTAGGCTCTCTGTGAGCCTCCTTACAAGACATTCTGAGTGTAGGGTGTAGTTAGGCCTCCTCTTGTTTAGAGAGTTGTCATGTTGAGGCCTCCGCTCCTGAGCTCGGCCATCTACTATGAGAGTCGTCAGGCCTCCTCTCGCTATAGAGAGTTGTTTTATTTGAGGCTTCCGGTTGCTTAGGGCTCCGCTAGAGCAGTATCTGTGAGTTGTAGGCTCTCTGTGAGCATCCTTACAAGACGTCCTGAGTGTGAGGTGTAGTTAGGCCTCCTTTTTGTTTTAGAAAGGCGTTATGCTGAGGCCTCTGCTCCTAAAGCTCAGCTTGGTATTGGCTAGGTAGTATGAGTGTTGCTAGGCTGCCTGTCTTTTAAGAGGTATTTTATTTAAGGCTCCACTCTCCAGAGCTTCATGGGCCATTTTGGACTCTCTGTGAGCTTTCTTCAATGTGACCTCAAAAAGAATGTAGTCAGGCTTCCTGTTGAGGCCCCCGTTCTTGAGAATCTCCGGTCTATGACGCTGCTGGTGCAGGGGTAGGACTCATCTGAGTCTTTGACTTGGTTCAGCCATTTAGGCACTCATCCCTTCAGCATGGTGGCGTGAGTATTCCGTTCCCCAAAGCGCCCTCTAGAGGACGCAGCGTAGAGTTCCCATTCGAAAGGGAACATCTCAGGTTACGCATGTAACCATGGTTCCCTGAGAAGGGGAACGAGACGCTGCATCTCTTTGCCATGCTTCAGGAATTCCTGCACGTCTCCTTTCAGACAAGAAGTGGATGACGTTTTTTACAGGTGCCCTTTTATACTCTCGGGCGTTCGTTCATCACGTGACAGCCCCATAAGCTTTAACCAATGCAGTCTGAGCCAGAAAGGTAATTGATTAGTTCATCTCTCGAGTCTTTCGAATCGTTCGTTCTTTTGTCACGTGACGTGACAGCGTTGGATAGAGAAATTAGTTAATTTACAAGCTTCCTTACAAATGGGTGCATAGTTATTATTATTATTATTATTATCATTATTATTTACTCTTACAGTTACGTGATGCGTTTCTGGTCTCAAATTGTAGCTTTTTACTTCTTACAGTTCATAAATGTGTGAATATCTGTCATGATGGTTTATTATTATCATTATTATTATCATTATTATTTACTCTTACAGTTACGTGATGTGTTTCTGGTCTCAAATTGTAGCTTTTATTTCTTACAGTTTATAAATGTGTGAATTTCTTTCATGATGGTTCTTTTCCATAACACTGAATGTTGTAACAAAGGTAATAAAGAGTTGGTTATTATTATTAAGTCTCTTTCCGGCTCAGACTGCATAGGTTAAGCTTATGGGTTTGTCACGTGATTAACAAACGACTCGAAAAACCTCAAGACTCGAGTGATGAACTAATCAATTCTCTTTCCAGCTCAGACTGCATTGGTTAAGCTTATGGGTCTGTCACGTGATGAACGAATGACTCGAAAAACCTGAAGACTCGAAACAGGTGAACTACTTGACTAATTCCAGTACAGAACCTATAGGATGTTGCGCATGCGCGACTGAATGAATCACTCCCCGAGACGACTCGTTCTTCCCGAGTCACATTAAAGATTCGTTCTGTAACAAAGGTAATAAAGAGTTGGTTATTATTATTAAGTCTCTTTCCGGCTCAGACTGCATAGGTAAAGCTTATGGGGCTGTCACATGATGAACGAAGGACAACGACTCGGGAAGACTCGAGAGATGAAATAATTAATTCTCTTTCCGGCTCAGACTGCATTGGTTAAACTTTAAACTTTGTCACATGATGAACGAATGACTCGAAAAACCCGAAGACTCGAGAGATGAACTAATCAATTCTCTTTCCGGCTCAGACTGCATAGGCTAAGCTTATGGGTCTGTCACGTGATGAACGAACGACTTGAAAAACCCGAAGACTCTAGAGATGAACGAATCAATTCACTTTCAGGCTCAGACTGAATTGGTTAAACTTATGGGGCTGTCACGTGATGAACGAATGACTTGAAAAACCCGAAGACTCGAGAGATGAACTAATCAATTCTCTTTCCGGCTCAGACTGCATAGGTTAAACTTATGGGGCTGTCACGTGATGAACGAATGACT